TTATAAAAAAATCTGTGGTTGCCAACCCACCTGCCAAGCTTGTCAACTATAGCAAAATCCCCCCTATGAGGCAATCTATGGTCTATGGTTTAGGCCTGTGTTCAGCTGTGGTTTTATAGCCAAAAATACATGTATTTAACTAGGGTACGCAATTTATTTTATGATATCATCATATGAAAATCTCGAGTCGCGGCTTCCGTTGGCACTTGTTTGTTTTTTATCTTTATCAAACTAGTCTACATTTAGAATTAAACGTATCTACCGACGTTTGTAAGGCACGGTACATTTTACCGGTTTTCGACATGATATCACTGTGTGCCCGTTAAACCCATTCTTGCCAGCATCGCTGTTTCGTAGGTTCATAGTTCACTTTGAACTGAGACGGAGGAAGGAAAAAAGCTTAACGTTTTAAACGGTCGGTGATTAGAGTAACTGTTCTTCTTTGGTCTTGTTACTGGTTTGATAAAGTCTTACTAATGCTTGTTTTCTTATTATCAGAGATATAACAATTATAACCTGTAAATCACTTTGTTTTATTCAAAGGTGAGATACAAAATCAGTTAATATTGCTTGAATTATATTACTAGCTATTGTGCATACAAACGCCGTGTGAATGTTTTGTTACATACACACATAAGCCGTGATACCTTTTTAATTACCCCTATGTGACAATAAATAACGCAACTTATCATCTAATACGTTTAAACAAAACTATTCAACCGATAGTTGATATACTTATTACTTATCATCATCACCCCATAAAAGTCCACCACTGGACACAGCTCTCCCGTTAATCATTACGCTTAGTTTCATTGTCTGGTGCCCACCCCAGGATGTTGGATATGTTCAAGTACCAACTCAAAGTCACGCTATAGTGCTACAAGTGTTCGGTTCACTGTGGTACTGAAAAATAAAAAAATGATAAATACTTTATTTGACAGTTAGTACCTTTAGAAATAATTTAGCAGTAGTTCTCGCACCAGCACTCGCGCACGCAGACCTGTATCGCGAGAACCATATACACATGTTGAAAATAAACACCCTACCTTGCAATTTGACATATTTTATACTTAATTTGCAGAAAGCATTTAAATATATCGCAAAACGTGATCAGTTCACACGTCGTTCATTAAGTCACTAACAAACGTAGACTTAAATCAAAACATATTAATATATTAATATTTATCATTCAAGCATAATTTGTCAAATAAACTATATAAGTTATTCTACAATCAATTTATCATTTATATCACATCATCAGTACCGGCAATCGGTGCAGACACCAACATCGTTTTGATTTGGCTCGAAGGAGCAAAGTGGTGTTGCAGTGTGCGCCTCAAAACTGAAGGTCTAACCCATAACCATCTGAGGAAAAATAATGTCATAACGTTGTCGTTATCTTTATTATAGGCCAGGATAGCTTGTTACAGACACCGAATCAATGACAATTAAACCATACCCAAAAACCAACTACTTGTGGTTTTGCTCCGAATGAAGTTCAAACTTAGGGCACGTTCCAGCATAGCCAATGAATGAGGAACGGCTATTGTGACACACTTTAGTATCGTCTTTTAAACAAGGTCGACGTCTTTTGATCAGAGTCTCCTCTGAGTCTTTTCATATACAAATTTTAAAACGTAACTTTATGATGTTTTTACCTATCATAAGCCAGTGCTTAACTAATATACCACCTGATAACAAGTGATACCAGGTAATATTGCCGAAGATGGTAAAGCCCACTCATTTAACATATCAAAAGTCTTGAATCACTTTTGTCTTGAAGAAACCATAACGTAATAATTCAATGGAATTAACACCTAAACCTGGAATGCAGAAATGGTCACAATGTTAATACACTGTGACCATTTCTGCATTGGCATGGCACTGCGAAGAGATGTTGCATCTCTTTGCATTTTCTTTCGCATCTACCATGGGGAGTGCTCTGAGGAATTGTTCGGATTAATCCCAGCCGCCAAATTTCACGAACGCACATCGCGGCAGAACTCCCGATACCATCCACACCATCTGGATGATTGGCGGTCCACCACTGTGCGATTTAGAAGATGTTTTCTTCCTCGCACAACTTCCTTGTGGAATAGTTTACCACCAGGGATTTTTCCGGACCGATACGACTTAGGGACCTTCAAGAAAAGAGCGTACTCCTTTTTAAAAGGCCGGCAACGCATCTGCAATTCCCCTGGTGTTGCGGTTGTTCATGGGCGGCGGTAGTCACTTACCATCAGGTGAGCCGCATGCTCGTTTGCAAAAAAAACACTATTTTTTCCTATCATATGATATGACCTGATAGTTCTAGGAGTCAGATGTCTTAGTGAATTGTATATAATGAAAACTTTGTTCCCTGGTTACGGTTTTATGGCGTTTTTTTTATAGAGTAAGAGTAACAAACGAGCACACAGTCTACCTGATCGTATGCGGATTCTGTCACCCATAGACATCTAAATTTATTAAGGATCAAAACGCTGATGCGTTTTCACTAATGAGTACTAAGTTGGAATGCCTAGTATGCAGTAAAAATACCTTCAGTTGTCTACACTCGCCATATGAAACACAGCAGCATTAAGCTGCTATTTTACGCTGGTACACTGTAAGTGCGTGGTCCGGTCGTGCTATGACCATAATATAATAAATAAATTATTTTTCCGCAATGTAGTGTTCCTTCGTTTACGTAGCTGATAGCAGTGAGATGAGAGAATAGTCTTGATAAAAATATTTGTCGGAACTACTTAAACTGAATTGTGGCAATATCTAGTGCATCAATTACACATTATACTGTTATTTACATATTATATACATAAAATTGGTACTGGTGCGAAGTCCTGACGATGAAGTGACGGCCACAGCAGTGAGCGGCCCACGCACACGCCCAATCTTTGCCGTTGTAAGACATTAATATCACATTGCTGATACAAATTACATGTTATAAAAGCTTAATGGGTCTGCGCGTCCTTTCTAGGTTAATTCCTACGACCGTTGCCTTACTTGATGTCTTGCTAGATCGATTGTACATTATTTTTTATATTATAAGTTGCAAATGCTTATCTTATAAATGTATCATCAACAACCAATATTTTGCGAGCATTCATTATGTCAACCTACGAATTGATTGTAGAACTGCCTTGGACACCTTGGGCTTAAATAATTATTGTCAAAAATACAGTAATAACTATTATTCGACTTAATTAATTATTAATTTGATTACACTCCATCTTAGTCATCAGAGGTAACAACGCATCTTCAATTGGAATCTTACTTCAAGATAGATGTAGGTGTCTCTGTGCTACAGTGAGGTAATCTGTGGAGGAGGCGTATATTCAGTAGCGGACTTTTATAGGCTACAATATTAGACCTTGGTTGAATAGTCTAAGGCAACAATAGATAGATAGATAGGCTACAGTTTCTAAATATCATCAGTGTAAAATTTGTGCCCATTTCTCGTTTTCATTTTTATAAAATAACTATTCTTAATCTTAAGTAACTGTTTTAGGGCTTTAACAAAAGTTTTCTTATGACGTAAGCAGGGCAGGATTAAGCTGGTCTTTCTATCTCAACACTACGTCTGTCCCATTGTGGAAATAATTTACCATCATCCTGCTTAGCAGTTAGCAGTTACAGTCTAGGTGTCTCACGCCTCTGTCGCTGCGGCATCTCTCAGAGGCCACGAGGTTCTTCCGGCCTCTTCCATATTCACCTTTCACTACTATCACGATATGAAATAGAGTGCTACTTAAACGAGATCTTATTGTAACACGTTTTTATTAACTCGCTATCGTGTATGTCTTCTCGGGTCGATTTTAATAATTGATTTTACGAGTACACTAACTGCCCATTGAGCTAGGGCAATGGAATACTCACCACTTCTCTTTTATTTTATGAAAACCCCCGTCTAATGATTACATATCATAGACAGTGCAATCGAAATTGAAATATTATAATATAATCCTCGCTCACTACCTATATAACATAACATAATATAACAGTAATGAGCTCTGCTCATCACATATTTTCAAAATAATATTAGTACCAGTGTGAAATTATTTAACAAGCCAAAATGAATAATTTCACGGAACCCTGGTGACTTTTCCACGGAACCCTTAGGTTCCGCTGCACACACTTTAGGAATCCCTGAGCTAGAGATTTGACATGTGAACCATTCTTTAATCAACTTAATCACACACACACAGAATTTTATCAAAATCGGTTCTGGCGTTTCGTTTAGTATAGTTTAGTTAGACGGACAGAAGAATTATATTTTGAACAGTCATAAAACGTATGAAACCTTAGAATGATAGACAATTTGATGTCTCTATTTTTTTAATTCATATTTAGAGAATCGATGAATCACGGTATCGATTTGTTTTTGGCCACTTCCGAGATTTGTACACGTCTAGAATTTCAAATTTAATTAATACATCGCCGAGCGTTAAAAAATCTATGGTAGCTGTATATATTATAGCACGCGAAAACATATCATAATATAAAACTGAGGTTTTATATTATACATTTACTTGTCAGGTATTTATCAACTTTTAAGTGCTGACTTACGCAGTTTGACGTTAATAGTTTAAGATGTGGTCAGAGTTTAGGTTTAGTTTAGACCTTCCTTTCATGTCACAATTAAAATACTAGTACTTAATAGTACTAGCATTTTAAACTATTGCATCGTTGGTCTAGAGGTGGGTCCTGGGTTCGAATCCCGAGTGGGGCCAAAATCAGTTATTGGGTTTTTCTGTGAAGAAGCCGCTAAAGCCGTTGCGCCTGCGCCTGGTCTTCTTCCGGTCGAGTCGGTACTCGTATGCCGTCTCACCGGACTATGAGAGTAAGGGAGCGCACCAGCGCATGCGCATGCGCATACACTCGGGCACTATGATCATTTTCTGCGCAGATGGCTAGTGTCCGTTGCGACAGGCCGCCGTAACCGAAATTCGGTCTGGAGGACATTATTATTACTTAATAGTAATAATGAATTATTTCTATTACAGATGGTATTGGTAGCGGACCGCGACGCGACGATCACCACTCCACACTGTCTAGCAGGTCAGTCAGAACCTACAGGTATTTGAAAAAAAATATTGATAATTTAAAACTGTTGGTTCTAAAAATAATTTCGTCCAGCATGTATCATCACATACTTAATGTAATTATTTTTATAACCTACAGTTTTATGATGAAATAATATCTAATATCAGTTATTGAAAATCCCTCCATTTAGCACGAGGCTGCCAGTCGAGGTGGCTCAGGGCCGTGCTGTGCACCTGTGTGCCATTCCTTGGGAGAGGCCTGTGCTCAGCAGAGGATTTGTGAAGGGCTGTAATGAATGACTGAATGGGTGGATAATTCCCTGCGGGAATTGTAGCTGCAACGAACTAAAATATATAACTTTTTGTACGTGGTGAAGTCACGCTGCAGCTAGATCGTTCTTGTAGCACGAACAGGTCTATGCGCTTTACTATCTCCGGCCGCATCACCACTTGCGATCAGGTTCAGGTGGGTATGGGGGTCAAGCTCTGGCTTAGGATAGTATAATTTAAAATTAAAAATTTTGTACAGCCGACTTCAATATAAGTTATTAAGAATAACTCAAAAACTATTGGTCTGACCATGATCACCATCAAATTATATACACGAGAAGTATCAGCTTTCATATAAAAAACAATCATCGAAATCGGTTCACCCAGTAAAAAGTTATGAGGTAACACACATAAAAAAACAAAAAAACATACAGTCGAATTGAGTACCGTCTCCTTTTTGGAAGTCGGCAGAAAAGAAATATGTCCCACCTATGAAGCAATGTAAGGGACAGGCCTAAGTTTGGTATGATATGGTATGGTATGCTATAGATATCATAAAGTTACGTCATCTTAATATTACAAAAAGTGGTTTATAATTAGTGTCAAGTTTGAACTAGAGTCTGTCAATGAAGAAGTCCCGTATAAAAACAGCAACTTAAATGTAAAGTATGGAATTTAAAAGTAAATGTTAAATTTTATAGATAAAAAGACTTCTTAGGTACAAGACGTTAAGACGTTTTATAAAAAGCGATAAGTGTAATCGCTGTTGCTCCTTAGATATGGCCACTGGGAAAACAAAATATATTCATAGTGTTCATTGTAGACTTTTTGACACGTAGATACATGCATACATACAGATAAAAAATAAAATCATCTAGAGCGCCCCGCACGCGTGCAAATTGCGTTATTTTAAATTCACAATGTGTTTTCCACGAATATGTGAACGTATTTGTTACGTGAAGCCAACATTATCATTACTATACCGGCGAGTCTTATATGTACAGCCTGCTTACAATAATATAGGAATATTATACTCTAATAATAGTCACTATCCGTGACTGACACATTCTGCCTTCACCTTGTTCACCAGCCTAGAACAGTCATATTTCAGAGACTTGCAAAGTTTCTCACCTATGATGTTGTTTCTCATATTATTTCTTTTATAGTTAGGGTGACTAACAACCACACAATCCACCTGATAGTAAGTCGACGCTGTGGCCCATAGGCATTAACATTTAGCCTCAGTTGAGAATCAAAATGCAGATGCGTTGTCACCCCCTGAAGATTAAGATGGAATGCCTCATTTCCAGTAAAAAGGATCTCCAGTTCTCTACACCATACGAAACACAGCAGGATCAAGCTGCTATTTTACGTTGGTATTCTGTGAGAGCGTGGTTTTCTTAATTTACGACGTTTCGGATGTTTTACAGCACCCATGGTGACGTCCCGATGTCTTAGTAAGTCCGGCTACCTTCAACTTTTGAATATTAATTTTTGGTCCGATCTGCGCAGATATTGAAGTATTGCAGTGGTATGCTTGGGCTTCTTTTTTAATTTTATGAGTTATAGGATACCAAGCAGATGGAATTAAAAAACTTAAAATACGCGTGACAAAATCCGTAAAAATTGTTTTATTCAATGTCTAGTATTCGTGTAATAATAAAAAAAATATCATTCTGAGAATGTTCTGAGAGCGATAGCTTGTTAAGGTAGCACTACACGTTGGCCGAGCGCGCTCGCTGAGTGCGTTCGGCCAACGTGTACTGGGTTGTTTTGTGTGTATTTGGCGTTTGCGGCCAACATTCGCCGACAAGCTGTATAGTGTCGGTTTTCCGTGCACAAATCAAAGAAATTTGGCGCAAGCCGCAAACAGCAATCACACGTTGGCCGAGTGTTCAGTTCATAGTTAGGCTTTACGGCTTAATAAAATTATTTCACGAACATGGCGACATGGCCAATGAGGAAATATTTAGGTTCATTGATTCTTATCACAATGAATCAGTTATATGGAACCCCAAACATGAGCAACATAAAAATAAGGCCGCGATCACTAACGTCCATCATCATCCATCATCCATCATCGTCCATCTAGCTACCAACGCAGAATGAAGCACGCCAACGTGTGAACGGCACCACAAAAATCTGCCGAGCGGGCTCGCCAAGCGCGCTCGATCAACGTGTATTGGAGCCTTTAGACAAAACTCCGGTGATTGTGTACGTATATTCGATTTCGCCTTCGACTATAATTCATATTCTGGGCTATATCTATATTATTTATATCCACAACATAAATTCCAAAGGTATAAGGTATAGCCCAGATATAATCTTGCGACAAGATTCGAATAGGTACTTGTTACAGTTGTGCGGTAAATAGGTTTGTTTCGCAAGTGTCCCGCGCCCGCGGCCGCGCTCGTGCGACACGACACGCGCACGTCGCGACAGCTCAGCGCAAAAGGAGCGCGCACGCGACCTGGTTAGGTGAGGACCTGATGATGACTGTACTCCTAAAATTATAACTATCGCACTACCAAAGAATTAGTAATGAGGAGTAGGACAACATTTATTGCAAAAGTACAAAGTTATTAATAATATTATGACATTGCAAATAAAAACTCAGAAATAAATTACTGTTACATTATAATATACTCAACCATTACGTAGCAATATTGTTTTTAAGCATTATTGCATTTGTAATTACTTTTTCATTGCTTACGTATAGTAGTCGGATTCGAACTCACGTATCCGCCATCCGACTACTGTCGTGAACTACCTACTATACATCTTTATATATAAAAATTACGTGTCACGTTGTTTGTCCGCGATGAACTCCTAAACTACTGAACTGATTTCAATGAAATGTTGCACATTTTTATACATTCTGATATGCATAGGTAGCAATTACAAGTGTACATAACATTCACAGATTGAGTGATGCATCTTAATTTTTAATTAATTTGGAGTAGTCAATCACTACAACACAATGAGAAATTACACAAGTAAGTTTAACTAAATAAGAAAAATCTATTGAAAAAAACAGGGTCAAGTATTAGGAGAGAACATGGTAAATATTATACCTACTCTTTTCAGAAGTATGCACATTTTTATGGAAGTATAAAATAAATTATATTCTGATCAAAAATGTAAATTATCATTTTTATCAGGAACTAGACGATAAATGATTGGTAGGTTTAATTTTTTATATTATTATTTATTATTTTTTATACGTGGTAGAGCCATGCTGCAGTTATATTATGGATGTAGCACGAATGGGTCGGCTCGACCGGGGAAGGACCACGCTCTCACAGAATACCAGTGTAAAATAGCAGCTTAACGCTGCTGTGTTTCGTATGGTGAGTGTAGAGAACCGGAGACCCCTTTTACTGGAAACGAGGCATTCCATCTTAGTCCTCACGGGTGACAACGCATCTGCATTTTGATTCGTAACCGAAGATAGATGTAGATGTCTACGGGCCGCAGCAACCACTTACCATCAGGTGGACTGTGTGCTCGTTTGTCACCCTTATACTATAAAAAAAATATATACAAGCAATATAAGAGTCGTATGTAAATACGAGTATATAAATAGTCGTTAAACTTGTATTTTAGTTACATCTAGGGTTTCGAGCGGCTAAGTAAGCAATAAAAGGATCATATAAAATATTGTTTTCAAGTTTATTCGGTATAGCTGTGCTCCGCAGTTTCACCCGCGTCATCACGTGTCAAAGATGCGCGACACGACCTAGTTCAAGCATTTTATAATTGCAATTAAATATATTATTTGATAGCACTGTATGGAAAAATTGGCATAATTAATGGAGTACTTTTATCTGTCAGCATATTATGTATGATGTAGAGCGAAGTTAAGTTTTATCCATTTTCCCTCTCCCTCCCGGTTGATTATGTCTTAAACCATGCGTCCAAATAACATGGTATAAAGAACTAAGTTTATCTTCATAAAATTGTCTTGATGATGAAGTAACTTTCGTTCGTAAGGATAAATAGGACATGCCTATTAATAACGCTCATAAATCACTTTTTAATTTTCAATATTTTTTTGTCACAAAATACCTAATTATGGCTTATGTATAAGAAATAGACATATGGTATCACGGACTTTTTTTTAGACGCAGTAAAGGTCGATATATTTTAGAACATTGTATTTACGTATCCCTAACGATAACACCAGCGTACGCGGATAAATCATTTCAGGAGTGCTTTTTCTTCTGACTTGCTTAACAAATATCCATATTTAAGGCTAGCTGAGTAATATAGCTTAATGCTAGATAGCCTATACTATTCCACATGAATCTGGCTATAATATACAAAAAGAATTTTTCAAATTGGACTGGTAGTTCCAGAGATTAGCGCGTTTAAACAAACAAAATAACAAGCAAACTCTTCCTCTTTCTATATTAAGTATAGAATAGATTAAGTTTTCTAAGCAGCCAACACTTAGTTTTTTGTGGTCAAGTTGACGGTCAAGATGACGTCGTATTAATACATTTTGTTCACATAGGTTTACGTAAAAAAATATTAATTACATTTACATACAACACTGCTGCACTTATTCTCCTGAAACTGCGAGCCCACTGGGTCGTCCATTACTCCCATTATTAGCAAGGTGCCAGCGCCGTACATGAATCAATCTAATTACACTGTACACTCTTTCATAATCTAATTTCCGTGTTGTTAATTGCATTTCTATACTCACTTGCTATTAAATATCTAAATCTAAATGATGCTATTAAAGATTCTGTTTGTGACATCAAAAATTATGAAACAATATTTCCGACATTTTTCCGTTCAATATTGTTGTGTTCTTGGAGTATACGTAATATCTTGCTTATGTATACTCTAATGTGTTCGATTAATTTAAGTTTCTAAAGACTATCATAATAAAGTTAAATGTTGTCATATTGTCTACCTACAACTAGTTAGGTATTTACATGTTCCCTAAGACCTTCTGTATACATATTATGTTGTATTAGGTCGTCTAAAGAATAATTTCAAACAATAACTTTTTGTATTATGTGAAAGTAATTAATAAAAGTTGTGTTGCGAAGTGTTTTTGTGATGATGATATCAGCACTCGTGGTTATTGGTTATTCATCAGATATGTCGCACGCCCGCGCCGGGTGTCAACTGATTCTCAATTCGCGTCACGCGCTGGGTATCCAGCAGCGCCATGTCTTTAAGGTTTCGAAACAATATACGTATAATAATACGAGTAAGTAATAATTTCGTGTGCAAACGAAATACAAACAGATAGCAGCTGTTTCGTAACACTGAGGTCGTTGTTGACATATTAGAGTTGACTTTGGCCTGGCATTGCATTATACGTATATTATCTCTGTAGTTACATCGATCCAGTTAACTCGGATACCTCGTTAAAGTTGTATGTTAAATAAATTAAAATCATGTAGAAAATAGTGATACTTACCTCAGGGGTTGATATTAAATTAGATTGTCGGAGCTAAGTGCTTGCTGTAAATTTCACAGTTTGCAAGCCAACCAGGCCAAGCCCTACCGGCACTGAGGAAATTGTTTATTGAAATTATAAGTGCTGATTTGCCATATGCTTGGCGGTGCACAAACCATCGTGAGAAAACCTGCATGTCATCATCATCATCATCATCATCATTACAGCCCTTTAACAGTCCACTGCTGAACATAGATCTCCCCCATGGAATGCCACAAAACTAGGTTTGCATCTATCGAATTCCTGCATATCTTACCAGGTCGTAACTCCATCTAATGGGCGAATCCCATTATGGGTAATAAAAAACTTATGTTGCCAACCCGCTTGCCAAGCGTGGCAACTAAGGCAAAATCCTTCCTATGAAACCATCTATGGAAGAGCCCATGTGGACTTTTATAGGCTTTAATAGATAAAAAACTCGCTTGATAGGTCGTCCAAGTTCTCGTTATAAGTCACTGTCATAGGTATGGAAATAGTTCATAGACATCTACGTCACCTCTGTGAATTAAGGTGGAATGCCTCATTTCCAGTAAAAAGGTTCCGATTCTCTACACTCGTATATCCCACTGGTGTTAATAGTGTTGTTCCTTACAGTGCAGTGCACCATGCGCCGACGTCACGTCTGCGGTACTGGAACGGCGAGGAAGCTGCGGGAGCGCTGTGGGAGGACCCGGACTTTCCGGCGAATGCGAGCGCCATCGGGGACCGCCGCCTTGCCGCCAACGTGCAGTGGCTGCGTCCATACGTGAGTTTCAGTCGCATGCTTGCATTTTTATACGTGGTAGAACCTTTCTCCAGATATATTATGATTGTTGCACGAATGGGGCGGTTCGACCTTGGAAGAATGCCAGCGTAAAATAGTAATTTAATGCTGCTATGTTCCGTGTGGTGAGTGTAGACAACCGGAGACACTTCTTACTGAAAACGTTGCGTTCCATGTTAGTCCTCAAGGGTGACAACGCATCTGGAATTTTGATTTTTAATCGAGGGTAGATTTAGATGTCTATGGGCCAGAGCATTCACTTACCATCAGATGGACTGTGTGTTCGTTTGTAACCCTGATTCTATTAGAAAATTAGTAAAAACGAGTTTGTTTCATTGAAAGTCCAACACAAGGATATGTAATATAGCTAGCTTTGGTCGCGCGAAACAGACAAGGTAACAACAGACTGTGTTCTCAACAATTATCTGTGCAGCGTCACAGAACAGCAGCTTTCAGGGGTAGTTTTAGATATGCGGCTACAAAATGTTGGAATAATATTCCACCTCCAATCAGGAGTTTAAAAAATCTCCACCAGTTCAAAATCAAGCTAAAAAAATTTCTTATTGATGCACAAATACAACATGGCAATATCAACCGAGAAAGCTCCTTCCTATAACGCATTGTACGGTTATTAACAAAATTGTCTGTATATTTTTCTCATTTTTGTTTATTATTATTATTACTAATCCATTTTAATTGATAATTGATAGTTGTTGTTACCACACACAATTATGTATAAGGTTATATTTAATGTCTTATATTGTACTTTTTTTTTTGCTGCTTTTTGCTTTATTTTAAATTTTGTGTTATTTAATTATATATATAGAATAGAAATATTAATTATATAGAAGGTTTAGGCTTTTTTCGTTTTATCGAAGGACTAAACTACACGTAACAGCTGTGCTACGTTCGTGACGCCAATGAATAGGTTTCTTGGCTGAAAATCAGCGCTGTGTGAGGCCATACTCACACAACACATGCTGAGCCAACCCCTTTTCGGCACAATGCGACCTTTTTTTTTATATATATCAATATGTGCTTTTACTTTTATGTGTATGAACTGCCTGTGCTGAATAAATGTTTTTTCTATTCTATTCTATTCTAATATAATAAGCATGTTTCAAAGTTAGTTACGGTTGAGACGCGCGTCGCTCACTTGCGCAAACAAACGAACGGCGAGGCGAACACGTTCTCTTTGTGCGTTGTACGCTGGTGACAAGCTGACAAGTCGGTGCGTTACGGCAGTCGTACCCGTCTCCCACGAGCCTCGCATGAGCCGGTGTAAACAATACACTATTATACTTTAGACAACTTGAAGAACATTTTGACGCTGAAAGACCTTACTTGACTTACGAGTGTGTTATGTGTGACTACTTAGTATATGAAATACTTTATGTTCTTGTGAAGTACACTCTAGTCGGTGAACAGCGAAATATTTCATCATCCGTCAAAGCTCGACCTATTAAAATTCAGAATCCCGCAAATCTCGCGGATTTCGTAATAATCAGGGACATGTGAAGTCCGCTAACAAAATTTGGATTGTGGATTCTGTATGTTGTAAAGAAAACAGAAACGATAATGCCATCATAGTGTCATATACGTCGATTCGAGTGCTCCATTTGAAATAATTAACATTTGCGCGTGTTCACGTGCGTGTTGGCACTGAATCCCCGATGAACAGCATCAAGTGCAGTTAGTGGTTACAGATCACTGGGATCTCCACAAGGAAGCGGGCGCACCGGCGCACGGTCCAGCAGCCACGCTACTGCTGCAAAAAGTCTGCAGCCACTGTGACGTAACGCGGTGTCAAGTTCACTACACCCGTTCCTTTTTATTTTGTTTTGTAAAATAAAACCATTCAATCACTTTCCGAACCGCCTTTGTAAATTTAAAAACTTCTTACCCACACTACTACTTGCGATACTACTTAAAACAATATCTAATACAAATAAATAAAATTGAAATGTGTGTTTCTAGTGTCAAAATAACAGCTCTTTACTAAATGCATATGAAAGTATATACGGCACTTTTAATAAACAAAAAGTTTAATGTTTTTGTCTGTCTTTTTGTTTGTTCCAACTAATCTCCGAAACATCTGGTTCAATTTTAACGGGAGCTGATGTTATAAGGAGTAACTTAGGTTATTTTTATGTTGGAAAAATAATTAGGGTTCCGCGCAAAAATCAAAACTTATGAAATCCAATCCTAACAAATTCCCCGCGGACGAATTCGCAGGGTACAGCTAGTATTAAAATACAAATAATTCGAATAGAGTACTGCAAAAAGCTTTAAGAATTTGTACATTTTTTATTGTACTAACAAAAACCCACTGTCAATTTGACGTCGCTGATTATAAAAGAGTAGTCTGTGCTGCTGATGAAACTGTTACACTCAGAATGCGAGTGTATCAAAAACTTTCCTATTCTAGTTTCGCCAGACAGGACAATAGTTTGTACTTTTCACAAAAACAAAAATATTCTCCGGGAGCATTAACTTTACTGATCCCAGCGGTGAATATCATCTATGGTTCCGCCACGAACCACGGTTCCTCTTAGTTAAACGTCGGTGATAGGCCTCCCAAACCCTAATATATATTATTCTAACTTACTATAAGGCTCCGTGGCGCAGTGGTATTGCCGTTCTACAGTACTGGCTATTTCAAATTAAAAAAAAAATATTGTGATCTGAAATGATCAGTACGGCAGAGCGGCAATTTAATAGGTAAAGACCTATTATATGAAATCATTACGTGGTGAAACGTCAAAGTGTATACTAAATGTAAATTATGCGACGCAGCGAAACACTCATACTCCGCTGCGCGCGATCCAACGCAGTCCTCACTCAACGTAACGAATTATTTAATCGTTTAGCTATCGAGTGGTGTAATTAAAAGTTGGACGTAGATGATTGATATGTGCCGCAACACCAAACTGTATCCAACATCAGTTTTCTGAACAGCATCTCACTATGGAAGCAAATTTAAAAACGTATAGTCCACGGGCCCACATATAAGGGATTCCAGTGATTAATAACAGGCTGAAAGTTTACACACAGCTTCGTTTTGACGAGACACCCAACTTTTATCATTGGACCAAATTCTGATAGTGAGACCTTATGTTGAGAATATTGGTATGGCGGTAGGGATGCAACATCGCTCATAAAAAAAGCGATATTAGAACCTCGATATTTTCGAAAGTGAAACATCGATTTAAAAAAAAGGGTTATTATAGTATAAATGAATACATGGTTGATAATAACCCCTGGGAAAGAGGTGCTCGCTTCTAAGCAGTTTCTAAAATAAATTTTGTAAATAGTTTGTAATCATTTTGTATTGTAAAATTTAATTTAAAAAAAGTCCCGCTGGGTTTCTTGCTTGTTCTTCCCAGGACAGAGGGTTTTTTTTCGAACCAGTGGTAAAGTAAAAAATGACTTTCAATAAGAATTACTCATGTAATGTATATTGAATAAAAAATTATTCTATTCTATTCTACTCTATTCTAAAAACATCAAAGTATATGAATAGCATGTTACTACATTCTATTGACGATGGAGCTATTACTCAAATGGGATCACTGTTTCTCAAAACTAATTCTAAATTGACTAATAGCAATAGAGGTGGAGCAATTTTGGATTTTTCTGGAGCATTCAAGGAGCTATTAATTGGCATTTAGTTTTATTTAAAAAAATAGATTTTTATGTTTTATAGCAAAATAAAATTTTTAATACTTAAATTTTTAAAAATTAATTCTAAATTAACTAATAGCAATAGAGGTGGAGCAATATTGGATTTTGCTGGAGCATTTAAGGAGCAATTAAATGGCATACAGTTTAATTTTAAATAGTAGATATTTTTTGTTTTATAGCAAAATAAAATTTTCGATACTTAAGTTTTTAAAAATTAATTATAAATTAACTAATAGCAATAGAGGTGGAGCAATTTCGGATTCTGCTGGAGCATTTAAGGAGCAATTAATTGGCATACAGTTTAATTAAAAAAAATAATGTTCTACGCTAACTTCCTTCTGGTGTTTTGTATACTGGCATTTTACTAACTACTCTAGTCATGAAATTTTTTAAATAGTTAAATTCAGTCTACATATACAACTGCTATATTCATATCGTAGTTTTTCAGACGCCAGCGCTATTGTGGTAGGTTTTGGAACCTCTATTTTCAGTATATAGTGGGACACTTTTTCAACTTTCGCACCTTATAAGATGGTTCTCCTTCTACTCTCCACTCCATAGTTTCACTCCACAGTTCACACCACAGACTACATAGTAGATTATACTTAGTCTAGTTACGCCTTAGTTACTCGACTCCACCGAGTCAGTAATTCATTCTTGGGGCGATGTATACGCTTTTACAACAACTGGAATTTTTTAAATATACTAAATTTGACCTGCTCAAAGTTCTAAAAATTTATTAAACTAAGTTTTTATAAAAAGGGTTATTATAATAGTAAGGAATTTATGGATGACAATAACCCCTGGGAATGAGGTGATCACTACCATACTATTTCTAATTTGTTGTGTAGTTAATTGTGTACATGATTGTAAGATGTTATTTAAAAAAAATCCCGCTGGGTTTCTTGCTGGTTCTTCCCAGGACAGAGGTTTTTTCCGAACCAGTGGTAAAAAAACAAAAGAGTAACTTTCAATAAGTAGCATTTATAATCTATATTGAATAAAAAAGTTTCTGTTTCTATTTCTACCGAATGTCTACACGATACTTTTCTATTTGGATGCTCTGGTACAGTTGTAAAAAAATATTTAATTGTTAGTAGAGTTTTATCCAGAGTTACATTAAAATTCAAAGTTAAAGTTTCATACCTAAGTTGACTGTATAATGAATGGAGACTTTATTATATAAAAAACATCACTATTGTTATGAAATAAGTACAAAGTGAATAAGCAAAAATAAACAAAACCCGGTCTCGATACCTTAAATTTTTCGAGAGTTATCGTGACCACGTAAAAAAAAT